TCGGTGTTTTAACGGACGGTGTATGTATATTGTAAATAGTTATGGAGTTTTTCCCTAGGTTACTATTATTAAAATAGGTTTATTTTTATTTTATTATGTTAGAGTAATTAGTGGGAAATAATAGTGAATAATTGAGGTCGTAATTAGCGGCGATGTTTAAAAGAGGTGTTAGTCACTAAAGGAACATAATGATTGGGTAGGCGTAATGTATTTTTGGTTGGTTTTCTACAGTAAGATTCACAAAATATAGTGTACAAACGCACCTATGGTGGAGCGTGATAGTCAATCGCGTGAGTGCGACGGGAATAAAGTTGCGTACAGACGTTACAGCGAAGGCCTTGAATAGGTATTAAATTGTGGTCCCACAATTCTGCTACTGTATTCAGTAGGGTGAACATAGACCGTTAGTTTCAAGCCTACCCCTACACAGATTCGGATTTGATTCGAATTGGTGACATTATCTACGTAGTATAAATGACGGTTAGGGTAAAATAAATTTGCGAATAAAAACCAAAACATAATAGTCACAAATGTGTTGATTAAAATGAAAAATGACAATAAAAAATGAAAAGTGACAAAATTATAAGGAATAGGAAGAAAGAACACACGGAGTTGTATTATTTTTTGAAGCAAAGAAGGAATATATCACTACTCCGTCCCCCTAAGTTTGGAACAAAAGAAGGTGACATGATTATTAATAAAAGTGAGTTCATGTGGTTGAGGGTGGATATTGAATTGATAAAGTAAGAATAATGTAGGAATGATTTGAAACAACACAAACTTTACTAAATAAGGTATGAAACAATCTTAGTGAGACGAACTGAAAAGGTAAAATGAGACAATCATAACGGGACGGATGAAGTATTAGATGTAAGTGGTGGGTTGACATGGAAATTGTCGACCCACTTAAATAATATAGACCAATTAACAATACCTTGCAAATTAATCAAAATTGGAATTTGGAAAGGTAATTGTGGACTACCAGGCATTTGTTCCAATTATAGACTCTATCGGGCATTTGTGTGAGTATAGAGGTTACATTTGTCAAGTCTGGACTAAACGAATAAGAAATCCAAGTTCATGCATTGCCAAAAATTTAGGTGGAAATCATGTATTCTTGCATGTCCCAAATAGTAATGTCATTTTCTTGAGTAATAACAATTGTTATTAGATTTCAGTAACTTGGAAATTTAATCTGGACATCATGAGTTTAGACTTCAAATTGAAGATATAGAAAATCAAAAGTAAATTCTATGGTAACCAACAGGTACCATACCTTTGTCCACATGGACCAATCAGAATATTGCAGTTGAATTATTTAAGTCTAAATTAAAAATGATATACCTACTTGGACCAATCAAGAGAATGATATGTACAATATCCTATTTTTTAAATGGGTACCGGAATTTTCACCGAATCACAATTACAAATGGATAGCAGATGACAATACTTTTGTGCTCCTCGAGAATTTAACCAAAACTCAACTACAGTTTTTTGCTCTGTTTGTTCATTCCATTTTAGATATATTCATATATACGATTGCCTTTCTAAAGATTGCAAGCTCACCACATTGAATGTTTTGCTGAAAATTGTTAATTTATTCTACGTACGTAGTTAATAAAGACTTGTGCTATTGTTGATAGACATACCAAAAGTGGATCATGCCCTACATAACCAACCCTCAACACATTGAGATAGGTTGATAGATGAGGAATCAATGAGAAACTTCTTTAGCTAACCATGTACTCTCTCCGTCCCTAATAAAACTTCCAAAACGGCTGGGCACACAGTTTAAGATAGTGGATATTGTATGGTGGAGAGTTGTGCAGATGAGAGAGAAATGTGTAAGAATTGATGTGAATCACAAATTATTTGCCAAAAAAGGAAATTGGAAGTTTTAATTGGGACAAACAAAAAAGGAAAGTTGGAAGTTTATTTAGGGACGAAGGGAGTATATTTCTGTTTATACAACAGAAAAAGAAGAGTACAACCCCATTGGTAATAGGTTAATGTTATATGTATTTTATATCTTTTCCCTTGAGTATTCGTTTCTAATTTGTCTATAAATTTCAAATACAGTATGATGGAGTATTCGGCTCAGGGACCCCTGGCCCATAGACTCCTACTTCTCCTGCTCAGGTCCATCAAGTCCAATGAGCACACAAAGCCCAAACACAGCGGCCCAAGCGTTAAGAAGCCCACGGTGCACATATGGGGTGCCTTCGGCCCTATGGCCGAGGGCTCTAAATCTCACAGGACAACCTGATTTGAACATACAGAGCTACTGGGAGGAAATGGCAGAAATCAGGAGCCTTCGGCTCCTAGGCACCCTTGGCATAAGAGTAGCCTTCGGCTACACAGAGTCTTCGGCCACAAGGGAGCCTTCGGCTACAGCGAAACTATCGAAGATTCTCTTTGGGGACAGACAACCACCGCATTTAATGCGGCGTCACATCCACCCACAACGTTTAATGAGGTGCACATGCGAATGCCGGTGCCATCCCGATTGAGGTGACCCCTCGGCCGTTAGATTATTGACACGTGTACTCTCATCGCATTTATGGCTGCTATAAATAGCAGACCTTATTCTCCTTGTAAACCACGCTGAGTTCATTTAATACATTTGACTCTCTCTTTTACTTGTTTGCTCTGACTTCTCTCTAGTTATTCTCCGCAATAACCCCTCGGATAAGTTACCCCGGGTACACTGTCCATCACAGTACTTTTTGTGTGGAATTTGTATCACAAAATTCATTAATATTATAGCTCAATTTGCTAATATATTCATCTTAATTAATTTGTTTTTGTTCATTTTAAGAAATTTGGGTCTACATACTTGCTTATGTTGGTTCGATCAAGTTTTTTTTTTAATAAGTTCGTTCGAGTTTATTGTTTTGTGTATTTTAATAAAAGCTAATTAATATCCAAATATTTTGTTTACTGTACTCTTATTTAGGTCATATACTAAACTCAACTATTGTAATATGAGGGGAAAATATAATTTCATTCAAGAGAGGTGTGAAATTCTTTTGGGCTAAAAATATTTGTCCATATTATGTTTGAGTCGCACTCGCATTTAATGGATACAAAGTACATAGTATATGATATTGTCACAAATGCTCAGGTCCCTCCGGAGGGACGGGAGCAGCCGTCCGAACTTCACTGTTTGGGACAGTTCCCGGTGGATTTTTTCGATGAAATGTTTTGAGCATGTTCCTCATCAAGTCTAGTTTGTCCATATCACATTTCAGCTCAAAATTCGACCGGGAAGGCAGTCGAATAAATTCTTGAAACTTACTGCACATTCTGCGCATATATAAAGTGCAGTAAGTTTCAAGAATTTATTTGACTGCCTTCCCGATCGAATTTTGAGCTGAGATTTGGTATGGACAAACTAGACTTGATGAGGAACATGCTCAAACAATTTCATCCAAAAATTCCACCGGGAACCGCCCCAAACAGTAAAGTTCGGAAGGCTGCTCCCGTCCCTCCGGCTGGACCTGAGCAGTCCTCATGATATTGTTAATTTTCAGATTTAATTTTGCTTTCACACTTCCATTCACCAGGTTCTTTAGTCATGCAAATTCACTAAAATATAGTTAGGATGTTTTCTTTTTGGACTGTTTTCAGTCCCAGACCAGACCAGACCAGACCAGACTTAAACAGACCAGACCAGACCAGACCAGACTTAAACAGACCAGACCAGACCAGACTTAAACAGACCAGACCAGACCAGACCAGACTTCCGTAGTTATAAAATACACAGAGACCAGACGTTTACCAGACCAGACGTTTACCAGACCAGACCAGACCAGACCAGACCAGTTCAGACCAGACCAGACCAGACTTAAACAGACCAGACCAGACCAGACCAGACTTAAACAGACCAGACCAGACCAGACCAGCAAATTTCAGTCCAAAAGAAAACATCCTTAGTTTAAATAAGTTTGCTGAATTGGTGAAAAAACACTTCACTTTCTGCTATAAATCCATACATATATGGTTCTTTTGTTATAAAAGGATGAGAAATTTGTTGATTTAGTCCCGTAACTTATAGCTATACCCGGTATTGGTCCTGTAACTTTATTAACTTGCAGATTACATCCCGTAACTAATAAGTTGGTGCAATTTTGGTCCTTCTCTGTCGGAACTTACCAATTTCACCGGAAAAGACACATCACCTGCCACATATATGGTATATTATTTGGAACTCATTTGCTGACTCAATGTTGGCCCTTAGCTAGAGTTAAAAAATTATTTCTTCTTGGTTGCAGCAGGAACATTTTGAATGAAGTTTAAAGCTTTTTGGATTCATGTTTTAAGAATAAAGCATTTGAAATGTTACATCATCTTCACTTCTCACATCTTTATTCTTTAACATGAGAAAGACCAGAAGCAAAAACACTAGCCCCACAACAACTATGAGGAGCCTTTTATTTTTAGCCTTCAACTTTACAACATCTTCATCTTTTGAATTGAGTCTTCTAACCAATCCCGGAATTATCATCGTTCAACGATGGCACATAGGTGGGTCCGCCCATTCAAAAAATCTGCAACCTTCTGTCTGTATCAAAACAAGATGAAATTTAACTTACTTTTTACTGCTTTGAACACAAAAATACATTATCAAATGCCCCAGGGGAGGATCTATGTTAGGGCTATGGTAGGCTGAAGCCCAAGGCAAACTAAATTTTTTTTTTTTTTAAGGTATTATTTTTGAAAATTTCTGTCCAGCCCAGCCCAAATTTTTTTATAGCCCAGGCCAAAATTTTCTTTAACGTAGTTCATTTTTCTAGCCCAGTCAATAAAAACCAAATTCTTATAATGAATGGTACTACTAGGCTCAATAAAAAAATCCAGCCCAGTCCACTAGGCTAAAAAATAGAAGACCCAAAGCCCAAATTCAATAAAAAAAAAGAAAACTAAGGCTTAAAAAAGAAAACTAAGAGCCCAAATTAAGACCTTTTGCAATTTGCCTAAGACCTTCGTATGTCGACTCTGGACAAGGACACCCCATATCGCAAGCTCCAAGCGGCAAGGCAAAGGCAGCAATGAGCATTCCGATTCCGGACTCCCTGTAGCTGCGTAACTCCGGCACTACGCCTCTACAGCCTCACTCGGCCTCTACAGCCAGTCAGCCAAGCGGGCAGCGGCCCAAGCGGCAAGGCTAAGGCAGCTTCACCGTCTAGGCGTCTACACTCCACTGCTCCAGGCTCCAGCCGACTGCAGACGGCAGACACAGCTCCACTCGCCACTCGGACCACTCGGCTTCTCCCTCTTCTCTAATCTCTAGCCTCCAGCCACCAGGGCCCAGGTAATACTTTCCATTGTAATTGAGCTACTGATTTTGATTATTTATTTGGGCCTTTAGGGCTTTGCTATTTTACTTGTTGTTAATTGATAAATTAATTACACCATTTGTATTTGATTTAAGAAATTGCCAAAATTGGTATAATTGTATGTTAGGTTAAGGTCTTTAAGTCAAAGATTCAAAACTAAATTAACGTTTAACTTAGATATGTAATATGTTGGTATAGCCGTATATAATGATTGTTTGTTTGAGTAATTAACTAGAGGGGATTATTGGTAATTTTGTTTATTGGTTAAGCTTTTTATCTTTCTCCTCTTTCGTTCCTTTTTCTTATATTGGATACATTTTTTTTCTTGGTTTGAAATTAAGGATGCAACCCATTCAAAGAACAGTCCACTGCTACTTCAAAAAAAGAGATAATCCAAGCAGTGAGAGTATACCAAGTACTAGTATACATATTCCATCTACAGATGCTACACCGTCATCTTCAGGAAGTGTAACTAATACTACTCCATCTCCAATTTCTGAATGTGTAACTACACCACCATCTTCAGGAATTGATGCTAATACAACTCCCTCTTCTAATGCTGAATGCCAATGGTCTTCTTGTATTGAGCGGGATCCTGGAAAAAGAAAAGCTATTTCTGAATTCCATGTTGACGCCCGAGATGAAATTAGGCGGGCATATCTGGTAGCTGGCCCATATCAACCACCACTTTTGAGCTACAAAAAGACTAAATTTGGAAACCAACGTCGTAGTTTTCAAAAAAATTGGTTTAACCAATTTAAGTGGTTGGAATATTCACCCTCAGAAGACAAGGCATATTGTTTCTATTGCTTCCTATTTCTGGAAGATGTGCATACAACAAATATATCAGCGTTGGCTACGGTGGGATTTGACAATTGGAAGAGAGTAAACCAAGGAATTCATTGTGCTTTTCTTAGTCATGTTGGGACGTCTCCTAAATCTTCACCACACTTGAAATGTGTGGAAATGGCTGAATATTTAATGAGACCCTCTCAACATATCGAAACGATTATTCGTGCACAAACAAAGGAGGAAACGAAAAAAACCCGTTTGCGTTTAAAGACTTCTATTATGGCTGTCCGGTTGCTAGCACTTCAAGGTTGTGCATTTAGAGGCCACGATGAATCTTCATCTTCTTTGAACCGTGGCAACTTTATTGAATTATTGAAAGCCTTTGCACAGTTGAACACAGAAGTTGACAATGTTGTGTTACATAATGCTCCCAAGAATGCTCAATACATTTCTCCAACTGTTCATGTAACACCGTCCCCAAATATATTTACTTCTATGTAAATAATGTATTGAACCTTATTAAAGGATTAATGAATTTACGAAGTTGTAAATTTTTGTTATTTTCTTTCGCGTGAATAGTAAATTGCACGTGGGGCCCACATCGGGAGCGGGGACCACCCAACATTCCCGAGACCACATATTTTATTCATCTTGGTCAAGATAATATTTATATGGTGGTGGATATTTTACTTGGGTCGTGGAAAGGCCCTGTGTTGGCCGATTGGGCAAAAGAAGCCCAAATGCCGGGTACCGACAATTTAACGGATAACAGCCCGAAAATGAATTTCGGAGACTTCTAAATTAATGTTTTGGAATACATATTATTTCAAAGGGCCATTACGATTGAGAACACATAATATATTTTATTGGACCCGATAAAATAAAATATATTTAAAACAGTCCGAAAAATACAATTTTCGGGACCGATTGTACACATCGGGACACAAAGGGATGACCTCCCACATGAGTGGGGGCCACCCCACGTTTTTTTGTGCTCAATTAGACAAAGGGGAGCTGGATATGATAAAGGAAGGTGTGGAGGAGGAGGCTTTGGCATCAAAGTACAAGGATGACCCCTCACCCATCACACATTTTGTCATTTGAGACAAAATAAACCACTCCCTCTCACCCCTATCACCAAGCTCGACCAAGACCTCAAGAAAAGAAGAGGAAAAGCTCTCAAAACCACCTCCATTGTTGCAGCACGAGCTCAAGAGAAATTGGTCCAAGGAAGGAGGTTTGAGAAGGAAAAAGTTAGGAAAAGTGTGAATAATTAAGGTAATGACCTTGTTATAACTTCTCCTTCATTCTTCTTTTACCATATGAGGTATATATCATGTAGACAACCTTTAGTATGGTTCCATATGTCACAAGTATGGATTCATGGGTTGAAAGGTGGCTCTACGTCCAAGAACGGACTTAGAAGCCAAAAACGACCGGTTCACCGGAAAATAACCTTTTTTGAGGTTATTTGTATTAACATGGGTTTTATGATTATAAAACCTTGTTAGGAACTTGTGAAAGGTATTTCAAGTGATTTCACAAAGTTGGAAAAGTCGCCGGAGTTGTCGCCGGAGTTGGCCAAAAGTCGCCGGAGTTCCACCGGAGTTCAACCAAGAAGGGTAGAACTTCATAACGCTAGTTCAAGGTGAGTGGACGGCTTAATATCTTATAACTTTTGGGTTAATTATAAGATTACCTAAATAAATGTTATAAGTGTTCATAATGATGTTTAAAAGATATTTAAACACGTGATTAGCCAACATAGATAAGTTTGTATGAAAAGAATTAATTGTTTATACATGAAACATGATATGCACAAGAATTAATGATGATATGAGAAATAATATGAAATGCATATTTGTTGGGAATGTCAAAGAAGCACAAATGATTATTATTAACTTAATTATATGATGATTAAGTTGACATGTACAAGGCTTGAATGGCGGTCAACGACAACGTTGACCGATGGACAATGGATTAATTAATGTCGGTTGATATTAGTTAATTGTACATTTATATAATTGCATGGATTTGCATGAATTGTGATACATAAGTCTTATGTATTGAATTAGTTATGAGTGACTAAATATGATATAGACCCTATCTAGTGTGATATGTGGTAAGTCATAGGTCGGGTGGAGTACCCAAGGATCGGGCGGTTATCCTCAAAACTCGGTTATAGGGTGGAGAACCCAAGGATCGGGCGGTTATCCTCAAAACTCGGTTATATAGGGTGGAGTACCCAAGGATCGGGCGGTTATCCTCAAAACTCGGTTATATAGGGTGGAGTACCCAAGGATCGGGCGGTTATCCTCAAAACTCGGTTATAGGGTGGAGAACCCAAGGATCGGGCGGTTATCCTCAAAACTCGGTTATATAGGGTGGAGTACCCAAGGATCGGGCGGTTATCCTCAAAACTCGGTTATATAGGGTGGAGTACCCAAGGATCGGGCGGTTATCCTCAAAACTCAATTATAGGGTGGAGTACCCAAGGATCGGGCGTGTATCCTCAAAACTCATAGATTACATTTAATGATCTAGGACCGGGCGGTGTCCTCATGATAATTTATTTGAACAAGGAGGAGTTCTATACACTCATAGGTATATGGGTGGGTTGGGATTTAAGTCAAGGATATTGGCTACTATTATTTTCCCAAATAAACAATGACCTACGGGTCGGGTATTTCCAAGTGTATGTATACTAATATGTATTTCAAACTTGGGGGAAAGACTATACGTATATGTATCATCCTATGTTTGGGTCTTATACTTGAAACGCTAGTTATTCTATATTTAGCCTGCTACTCGCTCGGTACTTGTACTGACCCCTTCGGGGGGCCCCACCATTTTCAGGTTGAAGCTAGGGCTTGCTACCTGCACCTTTCTACGGGTGACATCAAATCAAGGAAGACGTGGTTCGTGCTTCCTCATTTCATTTCAAATTACCAAACACTGCTCATGGATATTTTTATTTGTCATAAACTATTCTTTTGGGGCTTGCATGCCCATGTTATTGGCCGGTTGTGGCTTATGACTACCGTTGAATACTTCCGCTATTCATTGGTTTAAATGTGATGTTGTTATGTATGTTTACTGCTGAGTATGGATGGATTATTTCTCTCGAACGCCTTGTGTAATCAAGTGAGGTTGACTCGCGGGTGACGTCACTTGATTATACGGCGGTTGTACACGCGCTTGGATTGCGGTCTGGGGCGTGACAGTTCAAAAGGATATTTTGAACATTATGGGTAACAGAGTACGAAAAATGATTCGTGAAGATGTCGGAAATGGGTGCTTCTGTATTCTTGTAGATGAGGCAAGAGATGCATCTCATCGAGAGCAAATGACCATCATTCTGAGGTATGTGAATAGTTGTGGTGTATTGACTGAGCGCTTTTTTGCCATCAAAAGTGTTATCAGTACGACGTCATTGAACTTAAAGAACGAGATATCTGATATTCTTGTTAGATTTGACCTTGACCTTAGCAAATTGAGAGGTCAGGGATATGATGGTGCTAATAACATGCGAGGGACATGGAATGGGCTTCAAGCATTATTTCTTAGGGATTATCCTTGTGCATATTATGTTCACTGCTTTGCTCACAGGCTGCAACTTGTACTCGTGTACGCGGCCAAAGATGTTAGCGTTATTTGGGAGTTTTTTTCTCAAAGAATAGAAGTTGAACGTATGTTGGAAACAGGTGAGCGTGAATCTGGAAGCGGAGCCAATCAAATTGGTAATTTGCAACGTGCTGGAGCAACGCGTTGGAGTTCCCATTATGATTCAATTAAGAGTCTGATTGACATGTTCACAGCAACATGCAAAGTGCTTGAGTATCTGCAAGAACATTGCCCAAAAGTGAGTTCTCGGGCAGAAGTTTGTGGTGTATATAGACACTTTGCATGTTTTGAATTTGTGTTCAGTTTACTTTTGATGCATAAAGTTATGGGAATAACGAGTATTCTATGTCAAGGGCTTCAAAAAAAATCATTGGATATCTTGCTAGTAGCTATGAGATATGTTTCTACTACCCAACTCATTCTCGGGGAATTGAGAGAAAATGGGTGGGAAGACTTTCTTGAAGAAGTAAAGGAGTTTTGCTCAAAACATGAAATTCATGTACCGGAGTTGAATTCTAAATATATGGTAGGTCGTTGCCGCAAGCAAACTACAGTTGAGCATCATTATCACTTTGATGTTTTCAATGAGGCAATAGACTTTGTATTGGTGGAGTTAAGAACCCGGTTTAATGACAAATCAATGGAACTCCTTTCTTTGAGTGCTTCATTGGATCCCAAAAATTCATATGAGTCATTCAATGCTGATGCTATTTGTACTCTTGCAAGGAAGTTCTATCCCGAAGACTTTAGTAGTCAGGATATTCGTGCTTTGGAATTCGAGCTGCAACACTATGTTCATGATGTGATTCCTGATACCAAGTTTCAAGTAGCTACACTTGTTGAACTATGTGAGGAGTTGACTAAGAGCAGAAGATCTGATTCATATGTTATGATGAGCAGATTGATTCGTCTTGTATTGATCCTACCTGTTTCTACTGCAACAGCAGAACGGTCATTTTCTGCCATGAAACTTCTGAAGACAACACTCCGCAACAAGATGGCGGATGACTTTCTTGCTGATTGCATGATGCTTTATATTGAAAGAGACCTTACTCTTAGTATAGATGTAGACTATATTGTTGACGAGTTTTTTGCTTCAAAGCCTCGTCGAGGACAAATTTAGTGAAGAATTCTTATATTTGATATTGTTCTTATTATGAAAATTTTTAATGTAATAATATTAAAGTGTTTCAGCCCAGCCCAACATGAAATCCTGGATCCGCCCCTGAAATGCCCCCAACAAATAGAAGATGATAATTTTATTAGCAGAACCTAGCTTAAATTATAAAATACATTTTAATTTTCAAACAAATTTATTATTCAAATGCTATTCTTAAATTTTTAGTTTATTTAGTAAAAAAAGAAGCAAACAATGTAAATTAAAAAACTGAACTTCTCACTCTACTTCTAGCGCACACACGAAACCTCCTTCCAGGATCGTTATCAGTCCAAGAAGTTAGAAGAGAAACCTTTTTACCACAATCACACTCCATAAACTTTTCTCTGATCGAGAGCCGTTACTAGCAGATTTGAAGAATAACTCACTCTCTCGACTTAGTTCAGGAGAAATCTTCAGGTAGAGTTATATGTTCTTCCCCCTTCTTGCAGATCCGATAATAGGCTTGGTATGGTTGTGCACGCACTTAGCGAAGAGCTTTCGTACTCTGGTTTTTTAACTCCAGCTAAGGGCCAATATTGAGTCAGCACGTGAGTTCCAAATAATATACCATGTGGCAGGTGATGTGTCTTTTTCCGACGAAATTGATAAGTTCCGGCAGAGAAGGACCAAAATTGCACCAACTTATTAATTACGGGATGTAAATTGCAAGTTAATAAAGTTACAGGACCAATATCGGATATAGCTATTAGTTATGAGACTAAATCAACAAATTTCCCTAAAAGGATAGGCCGGAGTATATATCTAAAGTATTTCTTTTAGGGCAAGTCAGATGACTCCTCATCTATGATTCTGCAATGCCTACATATTTCTTATTTCATAAATTATAAGTAAATCTAACTAATGTATTGAACACAAAAGTTCTTGCCTATCTGGTTCCCTATTCATAAATTAGAAGTGAATCTAATTAATGTAACTCGAATCTCATTTCCCCATATATATGTGAGTGAAAAGTAAGTGATTTGGTTTCTAATACTTTTAATCTTTTTAAAAATAAGAGTTGAATTATCTTCTCGATGTTTTCGAACACATCAATCTATTTTTTGACACCTACATAGTAATTTTTGTAGCGAATAATTTAATATTGATACAAAAATACCTTTAATTAAAAATAAACTTATTTAATAGTGTTTGGTAAAAAAATTAGGTGCTAAGATCGATATATAAATATAAAATAGAGGTTAACCATGAAGTTTCCATTCAAATATAAAACTCTTAACTTTAACACATTAGACATAAAGTTTCCTTTCAAATTTTTAGCCTACACAAATCTATTAGAGATTATGACATTATATAAGAGTACGAAAAATCTTTGATAAGGGTTGATAATTTGATGTGCTTCTTCATGTAATTCTACTCGAGAACAAAATTATAAATTACAGACTCTTAATTATATTGTTTGACAACATTTGAATACATTAAACGAATTTCAAGTAATTTTTTAGTTTGATATTCCGTGCAACGCACATGTGAAAGACTAGTTAATTAATAAAGTCAATTGAGCCTAATTGGGGATCATGACCCACGAAAAGAACTCACATCTAGGCTGACCTGATCAGCAGGCCTCGAATCGAGGCAGGATTGTAGCGAGGTCGGACTCACCCTAGCTAGGGCTTATGTGGCTAGCTATGTAATATGCATGACTATTTGGTAGCGGCAAAGATTTAATGGAAGAGATGTGGGCATAAAGGAGTAATAAACCGCGGCGGACGCAGGAATTCCGGCTAGGAGGGGCGGCGGGGTAAAAATATACATACAAATATATATATATATTAAAATTTCAGGATAAATATACCTAGGAAAATAAAATTTTGGGGGGACAGCAGCCCCCATTTGCCCCCATGTTCGGTCCGCCACTGGTAATAAATGCAGAGCTATGAAATACGTTAGAAGAGTCCTCTCATGATTAAACCTATTAAATGTACCGGTTATGTCTCCTTAGGCTACTGTAGCTTGGAGTATATAAGTACTTCCTGTACTTACCCTAAATAATGATATTGTCGCTGTCAAAATACTTTTATTCGTAAATGAGTTCTCACAGATGGAATTAGGATGTTTTCTTTTGGACTGAAATTTGCAGGTCTGGTCTGGTCTGGTCTGTTTAAGTCTGGTCTGGTCTGTTTAAGTCTGGTCTGGTCTGGTCTGAACTGGTCTGGTCTGGTCTGGTAAACGTCTGGTCTCTGTGTATTTTATAACTACGGAAGTCTGGTCTGGTCTGGTCTGGTCTGTTTAAGTCTGTTCTGGTCTGGTCTGGTCTGTTTAAGTCTGGTCTGGTCTGGGACTGAAAACAGTCCAAAAGAAAACATTCTTAAACTCCATATAGGTCGGTCTGTACTAAAGCATGATATACATGGGCAGAGCTGAACATTCACTAAAATTCTAAAAAGATCCACATGGAATATTCAGTACATTGAAACATGGGTGGAGCTAGGGTGGGCCAACCAAGGCCCTGGCCCACCCCATAATTTAAAAAAGGCTTAATTTTTAAGGTGAAAAATTTCATGTAAATTATTTCTAAAAATATTATTTGTACTGGCCCAGTCCGGCTCAGTGTCCTGGCTCCGCCCTACATTGAAAGATTATTACTCGTATTTTCATATCAACAAAGTGGGGTTGAATGCTCATGAAATATATGATACAGTATTAATATGTGATGTGATGTACTTCAGTACTTGTATACATTGAACGAATATTGGAATAGTTCCAAAAAGAAAAAAAGAGGTACAAGAAGCCAATTATTTTGGTGCTCTATCTCACACCCATCACCTCGTACGCATGCGACACAAAACATTGCATACTTTGCATGTGCCGGACTCAGTCTGATCCTCACTTTTGGCTCTTACGTTTATATGCCAAGTTTATTTGTTTATTCCCCCAGATTTTTTTTTTGAGAGGGTTCCCCTGATTTATTCATTGTGGACGTTACCCTTTTTTTTATTCTTTTCCTTGTCAATAATTTATGGACTAAGATGCTTCCTTATTTCCAATTACGAAGTATTAATTATTATTACAGTATCATAATGTATCCAGGGCTGACTCAATAAATTAGAAGACCCGGTGCGAGTCACAAAAAATATGCCTTATATTAAATCAATACAATACCAAAAATCAACCTTAAAAAACCCAAAAAAAACTACAAACAAATGTGAGATTGAGAAATGATCACTTTTTCGAACTTGAACAAATAAAATTAGTAAAAAAAATCTAAAATCAGAAATGAACGAATGAAAATAGGATAAGAGAAAGTGAATTTTTTACCTTTGCTTGAATAACCTGAATAGTTAGATCATTCGGTCAAATAAAGTAATCAACTATTTTCAATAATATAATAATTACCCTATATATATACACTATATAGATTTTACAAAAAAATGGGCCTTATATTTTTTGAGACCCTGTGCAGAGGCACGCTTTGCACGCCCTCATCTACGGCCCTGAATGTATCGTCCCTGATTTTGTATACCAATATTATTGTGATCTTGTGATCACTTGTTTATTCCATTAATTATTACTTCGTATGTCTTGTGCTTAGAGGAAAGTAGAATATTACCATAACAGTGCATAAATTTGGATTATGCTCTAGGGAAGTTTGCTTTAAATTGAACGGAGTACAAATTATCACTCGGATAAACATAAGGAGCGTCGGATAAACTCGGATAAATAGTACGTTGGATAAATTTGTATTATGCTCAAGGGAAGATTGCTTTAAATATTTGGTCCAGGACGGAAGATTTACGTAGTACGATCAAATAAAGCATACTCAATAAATTAGAATATACATTCTAAACCAATCAATGTTATAATCGATTAAATAATTGATCCGTTACAAAAACTAAACAAAAAAATCATTTTATCCCGTGCACGGCACTGGAAGAGTCAGAGGCGGACCCAAAGGGGAGCTAATGCCTAATGCCCCCCCCCATTTTTTTCCTAGACTTATATATCTACCCCAAAGTTTTAATATATATGTATTTGTATGCATATTTTTACGCTGCCGCCCCTCCGAGCGGGAATTCTTGCGTTCACCACAGACAAGAGTTATATATAGAAAATTGGCTCTTTTAAATATTGGATAATATAGTTTGAGAACATGTTTAAATAATTAGTTAAAAAATAAAACATACGCAATAAATAAGAATATACATTATCAACCAATGTTATAATCGACTGAATAAGAGACTTTCTGTTAGTTCTAATAACTCATACATCAGTGCATACACACACATACATATAGTCAAGCAAAAACAAAATGGTTTAGGGGCGGAGGTGGGGGGGGGGGGGGGGCAACCCGGCCACGACCCACCCCAAAAATTTAAATTCTTTGTACTTTTCGTGTAAAAATTTATGCGTAAAACTTTATCTGAAAAAATTCTTTATATCGGTTCACTCCAAGCTTCGATCCTGACTACGCCCCTAAAATCGTTTATCCTGTGTACGGCATGAATAAAGATACTAGTAATTATACACTACAAAAGACAGTGTCGCGAATAACTAGTTCATACCCACTTATTCAAATACATATATAGTACCGAGTATATAATAAAAATTAAACAGAGTAATTTTCCAAATGACATCTAAATTGGTTATTTAACCTATCAAAAGGGGTTTTGTCCTCAATATTACTAATAAAAGGATGATTGACAAAAAAGTGACCTTTTATTTAAATTACCAAAAAAATGACTGAAAGCACCAACTCGGCCGCTACAGTAACAGTGTACAGTAACGGTGCTACAGTGTCCGTGCTACAATGTCCGTGCTACAGTGACGATGCTAAAGTGACGATGCTACAGTGACATTGCTACGTTGACACCACCAATACAATTTTACAATGACAACACACTATGTTCCACAATGACATAGTGACACGACCCCACCGGTGACACGACCGCCACCGGTGATGCCACCATGATGACACGACCGCCACCGGTGACACCACCATAGTGAAATGACCGCCACCGGTGACCCCATCACAGTGACATGACCGCCACCGGTGACACCATCATAGTGACACGACCGCCACCGATGACACCGCAACAGTGACACGCCGACTCCGGTCATAGTGACATGTCATCACCCCATCTTTCCCCTGCTCTTCACAGCCCGAACCTACCTCACCCTAACCCCACCGCTGACCATCACCCTACACCACCGCAGTGACGCCGTGACTCAATTATTTCGGCCATAGTGACACAACTATTCCGGCCAGAGTGACGCTGCCACCGCTGGTCAACATCACTAGCCACCATCCCCACACCAATCCGCCACCGCCAAACAGCAACACCAGCCACCATCCCCGCACCCAATCGCCAATCCGCAACACTTTCCCGAACCTTCAGCCCCGGCCAGTCACTGCTGCACCACCCATACTCCTCACCCAACCCAACCTCCCTCAGTCAGCATTGTCCCATGTGTCACCCTCCGGCACCACCACGCTCAGCCCCACGCCCCACTCCCTCCTCATCAGCCTCCAGTCACCTTCCCTTCCCCCAAACCCCCTTCCCATCCCGACCAGCAGCTCCCCCACCCCATCTCACAGGTCCGTCTCATCTCCCGAGCCCCACAACACCCCCACAGCCCCACCAAGCAAGGATGCACCCCAGCTCCACCTTACCACGCCGCACCACAGTCTAAATCTGAAAGTCTAGCGGCCACCATACTTCAGATCTGATAGGGATCTGACCGATTGAGAAGAAAGGAGAAGAAGATATGAGGCGGTGGCGAATTGATGCGCTAGCAGAGCTCACAGGCGGCGGAGGCGAGGCGACGGGATGGGAGGCAGCAGCGCTCGAGGCGATGGCTTCGTCTATAGCGGTAGCAGAGCTCACATGCGACGGAAGGGACACGACAGGAGGGCAACAGCAGAGTTCGAGGCGGTGGCTTCGTCCATGGCGGCAGCAGAGCTCACATACGGCGGCTTTATCCATGGCGGCAGCTGAGCGGCGAGGTGCGAGATGGAGAAGGATGAGATGAGGAAGCGTGGAAGTCAACTCCCACACTCTGCCAGAAGATGAGATGCGAACAAAGCGAGAAACGTCGAAGGAAGAGAGAAGCGGATTTGAAGTCACTTTTTTGTCAAGTTCAAAAGTGATCATATTTTAGTCTTTGAAAACGTTGGGAGTAATATCCTTGCCATTGTTTCTATGATTCTATCAAAAATGATATTTTACTGTCAAATAACCTTTATTTGGTGATTTAAATTAGTACAAGCTTTTGATTATTTGAATGATCAGATTTGCTGCGGCAAACTGGCACGGTAATATTTTTGTTTTATATTTGAATAGATAGGATATAAAATGATAATTTCTACAGTTTGTATTACTATCGATTGGTGGGTGATATTTGATACTTCCTCGATCTAATCCAAATTTAATTGCAATTTTGCAGATTTTAAAATTGATTGACGACAAAGTTAAATCATTCATGCTTATAGTTAATGTTGGGTTTTAATCGATCATGGGACACATATGCATGGTTGGAGTTTTAAATTTGTTTTAGGTTTTAATTAATTTTATTAGTTAAAATTGGTATTAGTGGAGTAGTGACAATTTCATATTCTTAATTGGTAGTTAAGAAGTGGAGTAGTGGACTAGTTTAGTTAACTCCCTAGTGGTCTCCTATTAATATTTGCACTTGTCATTTGCATTTGTCCTAATTAGTTAATTAGAGTTGTTGTTTTCATTCATATACAGTGCATTAAACACTCCTATTGAAAGTCATAGTGGCATTATTTCTTCTATCTCCATTTTTTCTAGTTTATAATTAGTTAAAATCCTAAACAGTTCGATAACATTCAAAATCAGTGTTAATAATTAAAATTCATTTATCCGAAAAATATCCTGAAAGTTCTATAAAGTCACAATTAAAATTCAAATTAGAATACAATATTTAAAAAAAATTATATTTAAAATTCTGACTGAAGTGGCTAGCTCCAGATTGGATGATTCTACTGATTTAAGAAAAAATTATATTTAAAATATATTTTATTAATAAAATAAAGAAAAAACTATATGCAATAATAGTTAAAATAATCGTCTACAGTAACTTCAGACAATACAACTAGAAAAGTAACTCCAACCTTGCTCTTTCAAATTATTACATAATTTAGCACGCAAAATCAAAAATTACGTGTTTGATGAAAAAGTTGGCTGATAAGCCTAATAAGCCAAAAATACTCCAACGTGATAAGTGTTGAATACATCTTAATACGCTTTGCATGATGGTCTATTCCAGCTTAATTGATTCCGACATCAAAACAAGTTTTGAGATTTCATAGGAGTGATTCAAAACATGAGAAAATGTGAAAGAATAATTGTGACAGAATGGCTTACCCAATAGGTAGCCCTCGTATGATATTTATAATAAAGAGTATTAAGAGTAATTACATAAGAGTCCTTATAATTACACTATTACACCCCCTCAATCTGTGCAGGTGAAACCACGTGCAGATTGGAACGTAAAAACTCAAAACGTTGACTAGATAAATTCTTAGTAAAAATGTCAGCGAGCTGATACTGAGTGGGAGTGTACTTAACAACAAGATCCCCATGTGCTACTCTTTCACGAACAAAATGATAATCGATCTTGATGTGCTTGCTGCGGTCATGCTGAATGGGATTAACTGCAAGGTAGGAGGCGGAGACATTATCACAGAACAGTTGAACAGGAGAGGATATCCGAATGCCCATGTCTAGAAGTAATGACCGAATAAATAGTGTGTCCTGGACGGTGTAAGCCACAGCTCGGTACTCAGCCTCTGTGGAAGATTTGGAGACAGTGGGTTGCTTTCTGGAGCGCCAAGAGATAAGGTTGCCACCGAGAAAAATAGCATAGCCCGTAGTGGATCGGCAAGAGTCCGGGCATCCAGCCCAGTCAGCATCCGAATAAGCAACAATCAGGGAAATACTCTGTCCAGCTCGAAGCCATAGGCCGTGAGAAGAAGTGCCCTGTAAGTACCTGTAAATTCTTTTAACTGCAGCAAGATGAGTAGTACGGGGAGCATGCATAAACTGAGAAACCAAATGTACGGCATAAGTAATGTCAGGTCTAGTAATAGTCAGATATTGCAATGCACCTACCATACTGCGATACTCAGTACCATCACTAAGAAGATCCCCATCTGTAAGAGACAGTGTGGTGCGAGACGGGAGGGGTGTTCGAACAGGCTTCACAGTATGAAGATGAAAACGGTGAAGTAGGTCATTGACATATTTCTGTTGAGACAGAAAAATACCTTTGGGGTTACGGTGAGCCTGAATGCCAAGGAAAAAATGAATATCTCCCAAATCTTTCATTGCAAACTGACGGGATAAAAGATGTATAAATTGCCGAACAAAAGACTCAGAGTTACCAGTGATAAGAATGTCATCAACATATAATAATATATAAATAGTGCAAGACTGAGAGTGGTATGTAAACATAGAAGAATCGGATTGACTTTGTAAGAAGCCATGGGACAATAAAAAACCACTGAAACGATGAAACCAAGCACGTGGTGCTTGTTTCAGACCATAGAGAGCTTTCTTGAGTTTACAGATATGAGAGGGATAGGATGGATGAATAAAACCTGGTGGTTGACGCATGTAAACCTCTTCTGTGAGATGACCATGAAGGAACGCATTTTTGACATCTAACTGACGCACCGCCCAACCTGAGGAAATAGCAATAGAAAGAACAAGACGAACTGTGGTGGGTTTAACCACCGGACTGAAGGTCTCAGAAAAATCTATCCCAGCCTGTTGATTAAACCCTTGAGCGACCAAACGAGCCTTGTGCCGCTCAAAAGACCCATCAGAACGGTATTTCGTTTTATAAATCCACTTACATCCAATCACATTTTTTGTTGTATCACTGGGTACTAAATCCCACGTATCATTAGCAATAAGAGCATTAAATTCTTCTGCCATGGCTGCCCGCCAAACTAAACTTTTATTTGCTTGAGAAAAACAAGTGGGATCATTAGGGAGAGCTAAAGTGTGTAAAGTAAAAATCGTTTTGGGTTTAAAATGCCATCTTTAGCCCTCGTGCGCATTGGGTGAATGTTGGGAGCCATATGGGAAGAAGAGGATACCGGTGGGTTGCTAGATGGATGAGGAGGATCGGTATGGGCGACAGATGTACTTACTTCAACCGGAGAGCTACTGGGTCGCGGAGAAGATGGTGGGGTGGACCTAGGAGTGAGGTGAGGGGAGCTATTGGCCGAGGAGGTATGACTACTGGCCGAAGGGGAGGAAGTGGGGAAGTTGGGCGTGTGACTGAGGAGGGGACTGCTACTGGCCGAAGACGGAGCAGTAAAGCTTGGTGAGGTAGGTAAATTGGGGAAGGCTGCCGGTGGTGAAATGGGCATAGGGGAAGTAAAGGTCCAAGGTGAAAGAGAGGCGGGTGAAGAACTGGGAGCAGGAGGTTGGCTAAGGCCTGTGTAGGGAAAGGATGTTTCATGAAATACTACGTCTCTGCTCACATAAACCCGGCCTGTTCGCAGATCAAGGCACCTATAACCTTTATACCCCGGAGCATAGCCTAAAAACACACACATAGTGGACCGTGGGGATAATTTATTTGAAGAAGATGCAATAAAGTTTGGAAAACATGCACACCCAAACACACGGAGAAAAGTATAGTCAGGTGGTTTGTGAAACAGTATCTCGAACGGAGACATACCATGCAAATTTGGTGTAGGTAGGCGATTGATAATAAATGTAGCTGTGTAGAGAGCATCCACCCAAAAAACAGGGGGTAAGGACGCCTCTATGAGCATAGTGCGTGAGAGTTCCAAAAGGTGTCTATGCTTACGCTCAGCCACACCATTTTGTGCAGGCGTATCCGGACAAGATTTACGAAACAAAATACCACATTTAAGAAAATGGTTTTGGAAGGAAGAATTTACAAATTCACCACCACCATCACTTTGAAAACATTTAATTTTACAGTTAAAAAGATTTTCAACAAGAGTTTGAAAATTACAAAAATGAGTGAAAACTTCTGACTTTTTATGCATAGGATAGACCCAAGTGTATCGGGAAAAATCATCAATAAAAGAGACATAGTATTTAAAACCTAAATTTGATAACACAGGCGACTGCCAAACATCTGAATGAATAATTTCTAAAGGAGCAGTAACAGTACGAGTAACATCCGAAAAAGGAAGGCGGTGGGACTTGCCCAGTTTACATGAAACACAATCATGAAAAAAAGTACTAGAGGTAGTAATAAATTTATTTTTCCTAAGAACAGATATAACACGATCCCCACAGTGACCAAGACGCTTGTGCCAGACTGGACCGGGAACAAGCTTGGTTTGTAATGCAAGAGACGGAGTAGTCAGCTGGGTTGCACTAAAGGGGTAAACAGAGTCCTTATTGGAGGCCTGGAGGAGTATGGCTCCCGTGTGATTGTCCTTGACAAAAAAATTATTTTTATTAAAAATAACAGAACAATCATTATCCGCACACAAACGCTGAATAGATAATAAATTATATTGAAGGTGCGGAACATGATATACTGATTTTAATAAAAGTGGGCGAGTAGCAGTAGATAAAGTAGCATTACCAATGTGGGATACGGGGAGATTATTACCATTAGCGACACGTACAGAAAATGGACCAGAATAAAGAGACTTATTAGTTAAAATACCTTCGTTTGGAGTCATGTGAGCTGAAGCACCCGAATCCGGGTACCACACGGACGCATTTGTTTCGCCCGTAGGGATAGCCGCCAAAGCTGGTGTAGAATTTGTGAACCGAGGACAATTTATGGCGGAGTGACCTGGAGAATAACAAAGCTGACACACAACAGGCGGTGCAGGGGATTGATAATTGTGCTCAACAGAGGGGTATCCTGCAAAGGGATGGTGAGTAACACAAGTAGATAAAGCATGAATACCATTAATAACAGACCCAAAATTACCTGATGCCATACCTTGATACCCAGTCTGTGGAGGACCCCGTGCCTGAGCCAGCTGCTGCCATCCATGCGGACCAGGTACTGGAGCTAGTGGAGGGTGCCCACCAGGTGCTGGCTGACCGTAGGCAGGCTGCTGTCCGGCGTAGCCTCTGCCGCGGCCACGATGACCCCGCGCGCGACCTCCACCACAGAAACCCCTGCCATTTCCGCGAGCTGCACCCCCTCGAGCTGGAGGGCGGACTGCCTGCTGCGGCTCATGAGCTACAAAGACCTGATGACCGGGATGAGAATTTTGGGACCGAAGATAGAGAACCCGTTGCTCCAACGCCATTAATTGTGGCCGAAGAGAGTCAAAGGTGAAGCTGTCCGGGAATAAGGTAACGGAGGTAATAACGGACTCATATTCAGGACCCAAACCAGCCACCATTTGTTGAAGAAGTTCACGATTACTAACGGGAGAATTAATAGAATTTAGATTATCGGTTAAAACAATAATCTCCCGCAAATAATCATCCATGGATTGGTCTTCCTTCTTCTTTAAACTGGATAAAATTCTCCTAAGTTCAATTGCTCTAGCGACACAAGCGGCCATAAAACGAGTCTCCAATTTTTCCCATATTAATGCCGAAAAACGAAGAGTATGAACTTCAAGTAATATGTTACGAGACAAAGTCGCAAACAACCATGATCTAACAGTTTGATCTACTTTGAGCCATGAATGATATTCATGATTAGGGGCATCCAAAAGAGTTGGAGATGGGGCAGGAATGGATCCATCAATAATCCCCAATAATCCATGAGACACTAAAAACGCTTCAAATTGTGTACGCCAAGTAAGATAATCCTCCACTTTATCCAAACGAGTAGTGACAATGTTTGTAACATTGGGAGTTGAAAAAGATAATTGAGATGATAATTGGGATAAAGTGGAAGAAGTTACCAAAGGAGCAGTGTGCCGAGAGGTTGAGGCGGACTCGAAGGGCAGGACGCCTGGCTGGCCTGAGAAGGTTGGTCCGCTGTACTGCGTGGAAAAAGAAGCTGTCGGACGGAGAGTTGGGGTGACTGGCGGTAATGTAGGTATAGTGGGCGTCCATGTAAATGGTTCTGGCATATTGAACAACCGAAGAGACTCCAATGGAGGTGGCGGCAGTGTACCCCGGGTGGCGGACAGTCTTGGTGACATGTGAACACCAGAGGTATAAAGCGGCTCCGTCAGGGCGGGCGCTGAAGACACCGGAAGTGCGGCAGTGGCCATGATCGATGAGGAAGAAGCCACCGATGGATTTGCAGGCAGCGACGAAGGGAGAACGTGCGCCGCAGTAGTGGTCGACATATTTCGTTTCTAGGGTTGGAAAGCCTAGGCTGCTGATACCATGTGAAAGAATAATTGTGACAGAATGGCTTACCCAATAGGTAGCCCTCGTATGATATTTATAATAAAGAGTATTAAGAGTAATTACATAAGAGTCCTTATAATTACACTATTAGAAAATTGTTCTAACGTAGGACCAAAACTCAAGTTTCTTTATAAAATACCACCAAATGTATGTTTATCTCTAAATAGGACTAATCTTACATTTTTACTCCTAGTTCAATTTAATTATTTAATTAATTGACCTAAATAATTGTCCCCATATATAGTTTCCTTGCACAACCAAGGCAGTCCGTCGATGGCGGGACAGTCCGTGGTGGCGGCAGCACTGCGGCAGCGGTCGGCGGCAGATTCTGGCGGCGGCAGAAATGCTGGCAGACCGCCAAGAAAGAATCTGGAAGTTTTCTGTCGGCGTCGGCGGCAGGAAGCAGTCCAGGACTCCAGGGGCAATAGTGGGGGTATTTTGGTTTAATCACATATAAAAAAACCTATTTAAGGATGTTTAAACTAATTGATCATATTTTGGGAAAAATCCATGTTTTGCTCCTATTAAGTTAAATCCCACTCAAAACTTATATGTTAGTTTCTATTTTCTAAGACGTCGAGGTCATTACAAAAAAATTACGGGATTGGCATGAATTTGACACAGATTTATCGATGATATCTTGTCAAACAGCTTGTGTCAACCCGTTTTTGGCACGAATTTGACATATCCCTGTCAAAATCTTTGCCAATTTTGAGAAATCTCTACAAAAAATTCATGCTAATCTCGTGGAACATTTTAATAAGAGGTGTTGTAGTATTGCACGTAGTATTATTATTATGGATAGCGCCTAAAAATGTACCCAAAAAATGGATAGCGATTTTCCAGCCACATGCGTGCGCATAATAAATAATGCAGCTGGAAGCAAGCCCACATAATGAATGAGGTGTAATTAAGGAGGAATCAGGAAATGGTAGCTTTTACCGTTTAAACTTTAAATCACAAAATGAAGCTCCCTTTTACACTCCGAGGGTAGGAGAATTGTGCTATTGATGACAAGGAGCACTACGTTGTGACTAGTGAGTATATATTACGGAGTAGTATGTTACTAAACATGTTTTCAATTGCATTGAATAAGTTTTGGTCTGATATATGATTTGAATTAGTTTTGTTTAACTCTAGTTTGATTGGTGTGGTCTGAATTGATTTGATAGCTATCTTTTCTAGGTGCATTTTAAAACTATTAAAGCCTGATTTGAATCGATTTAATTTAAAACATTCTTAATAGTCATCACTCAATGATCACTAAATATATGCGATGTATTTTAACGTTCCAATTCCGTAGTATCATTTCGATTTGCACTAATTTTTTTAAGAGAGTGGGGTGATTTTAATGAGAAGGATGGACTTGGTGAACTAAGGTTATTCTTGGTGTATACGTAGTACCTATTTGTAAATCTTTTACCCTGTATATGATTTGTCCGTGTCAACACAATGCGTCCATTTTTTTTTTTTTTTTGCATTTTTGGATGAATTTTTAGGGGAGAGTGCACATATGGTGTACAAAAACATGTACAAGCACAAGTGTATGTAAGGCCATCTCCAACGGTTAACACCATTTTTTACACTAAAATGGTGTAAACATCACATCAAACAGTATTTTATCTCCAACAGTTTACACCATTTTCATCACAAAAAAGGAATATTCTCTTTTTATTCTTTTTACTAACTTTTTACCATTATTCTATTTAAATATCTTACTATCATATATTTATACATTAGCCCCTCATTTAATATTTTGACATTTCACACATTATTTCACACATACAAACTAAAATACATCATTTTAATATGTATTTTCACGCATTTCACATTGTGTGATTTAAATGTTATTATATTTTTTTTATCAAATTAATAGTTTTTACTGTTGTTGTATAAAGATGTTTTTACTTGGACTGTAATTTGTTTCAGATCAGATCAGACTGGATTAGACCAAGCTTGGGTAATTATAAAAATACAAAGAAATCAGACCTGGCCACATCAATTCAGACCAGACCAGACCAAATCAGACCAGACCGGACCAACAAATTTCAGTCCAAGTAAAACAACCTAATTTGTTGTTTTAAAAATGGGTCAAAACTATAATAATCAAACTTTGGGTCACATTTGAAAGAAAAAAATACAAAAAGAAAATGGTGCTACAAATGGCGTACGCCATATATGGCGTAAAGCCATCCCCCCCCTCATTTTGGTGTAATGGTGTAAAGTTTGGTGTCATTGTTGGAGCAATTTTTTTCCAAATACACCATTTTGGTGTTGAAGATGGTGCTTGTTGGAGATGGCCTAAGTTAATGGATAAAAGAGGATGTAACAATTTCATTATATAGATTATAGACCACTTTTCATAAAAGTAATTAAGTAGGAAAATGACATTAGTATATATTTGACTTTTCTTTTTTTCTCTCATCAAAACGTAGATAACAAAAAATCATTGTATGTCAAATTATGTCATATGTAAGCCATGTCTATGTGAAGGGATTCACATGAAAAAATTGTAAGTTGTTCACACAAATAACTACTACATCATATATTATATGTACAAAAACATTAATTTGCGTCAGTCACAATGATTCATGTGCTCCACCACGTAATTCGCAACACGGTGTATGTATTGATGCACAAAGTAATGTTTGTAACACATATTTTTTTGTGCGTGAAAAAACTTTTGCTTCTTTGTGATAGTACATTTCTTGTTTAATTTGTGCCCAAATTTCCCGTTTATTCAATTTACTCTTCTTTCAATTGCCATTTTTTATGAGTTTCTGAATACAACCAATCGAATTTTGAAATGCACATATAAGCAACGTTTGTACAACTTTGTATGTATCAATCTTGTTGAAGAAAGTAAGTTTCAATAATAAGGGGGAAGAAAATACAGTTATTAAACCTCTAAAATTAGTACCAATGAAATCGCTAAAGTGAGAGTGCAATCCAATCGACATCATACTAGCTGAAAGGACTTCACAGGTCACATACAACACAATCACATACACAAAGCTCTGAATTGACGGAATAATAGCTAAGTGCCCTTCTAAGTTCTCTCAAGTTTGTTTCCAAGCATAAGGCCAGAAACATCCCCCGAAATTTCCAAAAAGTTCATAGAAAATAGCCAATGGACATTCGGTGGACGAATACCCTATGGGTTATATCTGTCACATTCATATCCTCAAATAAGACAATCCTTTGTTGCTCCAATTACTGATTAACTAGTTGCATGACTCGCCTCTTTCGTGTTTGTCGGATGAATGAAAACGCTAGTGTGACCATTAATTCTAAGGAGCACACTAGCGTAAATGCGCGATGAAGGATCGAGATGCTCTAAATATTTTAGATGAATGAATCTCAATTATTCAACACGCGATTGTGCGTGCTCCATATATTTTCTCTTAAGTATAGAAGCATACGGTTCCATACAAAACATGTTTGCTCCATAATGTGAAAAAACCTCATATTTAGATAGTTACGGATTTAGGTGGCGGGGGCTACCGCCTTATTAGGAATCTCAAAATTTTCTATTGTATGAGATTTGTTCGTATTTTCAAATCAAGTTGATCATTGGCACATTTTTAAGAGAAAATTACTAGCAATATGATTAAAAATTGTGATGATTTCTAAAATATGAATAATTAGTTTTTTATTCCCGAATTAATGGTTTCTTGTATGCATGGTACATTGGTACTAGGCTTGATGCTAATTTTCTCCATTCAATTTAATTACTACTCATATAAAACCATACTTAAGCATGTTAGTCACATATTGTGAATCTATGAATCTTTTAGTTACGATAGTATGTATTATTGTTGATTCATAAAACCATGGGACTAACACATAAAACCATGAATCTAACTAAAATAAAATACAACGAATTGAAGCACTAC